AAATTATAATTAATCAAATATCTAATAATATCAATTAAATTATAATTAATGAAGTTTATAATGATATTGATTAAATAACAATTTATAAACATTAATTAATTCGATGATAATTAACTATTTAATTTTAAAATTATTAATGAGTTTAATAGTCATTTTATTTATTTATTTACTCTTGTTCCTCTCTGCTGATGGTCTTCCATAGGCCTCCGGCACTTCTAATCTTAGAAATTAAGCCCTGGTTATTGTTAATTGATGGTAGATTGGTTTATCCCCATGATAAGTCGATTAATCTACGATCAGTGAAAATGGCTACTTTTTCAATACTTAAAGGTTTTCACTTTTGATGTTGATTTTTTTTTTTTTTTTTTTTTTTGTGTGTGTGTGTGTGTGTGTGTGTGTGTGGGCAATTAAGGATTTTTTTTACAGATTTTTATGTTTTTAAAGCAATAGAGATTTAGAAAATACTATTTAAAAAAAAAAAACTAATTAAAATACTGACTAAATTTTTTTAAAAAATATTCTTTGTTTTAATTGAATTTCTGTTCCTTGGAGATGGTCTTAGAAAAGTTTCTAATTATTATATATATATATATATATATATATATATATATATATTGAATGAGTATAAAATTTATTAAAATACATTTTTTTTTATTAATGCAAATAATGTTACTAGTTGGCTGTGTTCCAGTATGTACCACTTTGCTTAGAGCACGAATTCTATACAATTCTGCGAATAAGACATTTTAAAAAAGCTTTGTATTGCTCAATACTTTTCACCATACTCTACGTAGAAGTGCGCGTCACTTAGCTCTTTAAATAATATCTCCGATTTTAATACCAAATATCTCGGCAAATTTTTGTCGTACGCGATTCACACTTTTAATACTTTTTTTTTTTATAATGAATATAAATTTTTTTGTAAATGTAAATTTAGGAAGCGAAAAAAATGTAAAGGAAGTTAGTCTTCGCAACTTTTACAAAATTGATTGTTACTTCTGTGTGCAATCACGAAAAATTACGGATTTCAGACCTCAAAGAAAATATCCACTTTCATCGCTCTCGAATCCGTCCAGACTACCCTCCCACGTGACATTCTACGGACATACAAAGGATTCTCCACTCCAAAACGAACTGCAAAACCGACCCCACCCTCGCGACGCCTGTACGAACACATGAATCTCGCATAACTCAAAAAAAGCCAGCCGCGTTCGCCTAAATCGACTGCAAATCGCTATCACCCCACTACGGCACGGCAATTAGACGAATTAGGCGAAAATCCGTCTTATGGCTGATTAGGATCTGTCTTATGAGCCGATTAGGCTTAGGAACTGTCTTATTAGCCGCAGTGGGGGTTGAATGCGAGTTTGAAATCAATAACTTTTGTTCCCTCTGCATTCTATATTTATTTAACAAGAACAAAACTGAAATTCTTGATTAAAAATGACGCTAACTTTAACAGTTAGCTTTATCTTTCTAAATTTTACGCTTATTACATTACAATTTGAATGCATAACAGTTTTCTCTAGTAAGCAGTAAGGTTTTCTTAAGTAAGTTTGGTTTGTTTTAGCTGATTACAGCAAAGTACTGTCTGGCTATCTTCCTGAGGGAAGCGATGTCTTCATGGAGGACTCTGTAAAGGAAACTGCCTCTGATACATGTTACTCGTGGTGAAACTATTGTTCAGCGATTTTACCGCTCGGCCACCGCTGGGCCTATAAATCAGATCTTCTTAAGCACGTATATAAGTGAAATTTCCGTCAGATAAGTAGATTTCGTATGCTACGTAAGATTTTTCTCAGGTAAATAAGCAATTTTTTTTTTTTTTTTTTTTTTTTTTTTTTTTTTAAGTATAAGTTTTTTTCCTTATTTTATTGTCTGCATCAAAAATAAAATCTAATAGTAATGAAATTTTGAAACAATGAATAGTTTGCAGTTTCCTCGACAGACACACTCGTCTGCAAAATTAAGAGAATTTTCACATTATGTCGAATTTCTGAAAGATTAATGGACAAAATTTATTGACATTTCGTATAAACATACAATTTATGACAGAGAAAGAGATGTGTCGTTGTGAAGTCATTTCATGTGCGCATCATTATTAATTAGTAAAGCTCATAGTGCAAGGATGTCCAAAATCCACGTTGTGATATCGAATTGAAAATGAGTCTAATGGGGTATAGTCCTCTCTCACAGCCAGACAGGTCGCGCAGCGTGACGGCATGCATGACAGGTGGCAGTTAAGGAGTCTCTGTGGCAGTCGATCCCACTCATGCTGCTAGGCAGTTTTCAACTCCAGAGTGGTTTTCGGAGGGGAATGGAGCGAGGTGAAATTTCCCTTCCAAGAACATTCCAGATATGCTTATTATACAGTTAATGTCAAAAGATCTGGCTGGCCAGTCTGTGCGGCGAATCCTCACTTTCTGGGTAATCGTCGACCAGTTCAGCTGATATGGATGAGCATTGTGGTCTTAACAGGAACCTAGAACAAACTCCTTCCCTAAAAACTCGAACATAGGGCTCTAAGATCTCCTTTTAGGATCTCTTAGCCGTGAGGGAGCCTTTGTCAAACATATGTAGGGAGCTGCTACCGTCCAACATAATGCCAGCCTAAACTATTACACTTCCACTAGAGTAATTATCCTTTTCCCTGATGAGGGAGCGATGGTATCGTGTTCCAGGTTCTTTTCAGATGTTGGTTCCCCGAGAATCAATATCCAAGCTCAATCTCGACTCATCTGTAGTGCTCCACTGAATTCACGTTTCAGCTGCATGTTGTTTGCACCATGATAAACGAGCTGTGTTGTGTGCTACAGTGAGTCGGACGCAAACGGCATACAGCTTTGTCGCAGCTTTCGGGCTACGGTATAATACCGTGAAACTTGGGTTCCAGTGGCACGTGAAATGAATGACGTCTCCTAGAGGTCATTGTTTGCCAAGGGATTAAAACTATAACAACCCTGTGTCGCCGCGCTAAAGTGCTAAATAACGATCCGTTGGTCAACCTTGTCCATGTCTTCTTGATATGAATCCAGTGTCCTGAAACTGTTTCCACAAATTCCAGACGACACATTGAGTTCTGTAGCTACCCGTGCTTGTGTTTGGCCTCCCTCCAATCTATCGACAAATCTCCATTTCAGCATACCACCCTTACCTTCCAACTTATTACCAACCAACAACAAATTTATCCAACTCTTGCGAGGAACACGGCGAATGTCGTGAAGGAGTATTAGCGCACAAAGCGCCGAAAACCCTCGTGCGAAACCCTCCCTACACAATCACATTTCCGCAGACACGCATGTGTACGCTTACGTATTCTACTCTAAATATTTGGATAAATCTCGGCGACATAGTTAGTACCTTTAGTTTGCTTCTTTTCACAAAAATAGGCATAATTCTTTTAATTTTTACATACGAATGTATTTCCTCTAAAAAACATCGATAGAATGTAGTCTTTTAATGATTGTAGTTTTACATTCAAAAAGTAAATGTTGGGGTGGGGCGCTAGAAGTTCTAAAATAAAAAAGTAGGCCATAATTTTTAAATTTATTTATAAGTTCGTTTTCATTTTTAACTTTCTCTGTTGGTAACAACCGTATTATTATTATTATTATTATTATTCGTAGGTAAGTGCTGTTTGAGATGTTAAACTTTAATCTGACGTTCTGAAATTTTATTGCTTGTAACCTGTTTTTCTGCGATATTGGTTATATTTATTTTGCACTTTGTTTTCTTGATTTGCGTGAGCTACAATAACGACAATTGACAATTAATTTTGAATGCATAGAAAAAAATTAATTGTAAGTAAAGTTATTGTCCCGAGTACATGAGGATCTTGCTAGCGGCAAGAGCCTCTCTACTCGAGAGTTTGAGAGCGTTCCGATAGCTTGCTTTGTCCGAAACAATTTGTAGACTGAATTAGTCACGCCCTTTTAATTTTTTCGGTCTTCTGATTCGTTATAATTAAAGGTGATATCAGAGGAGCTACAGAATGGTTGGCTAGTCGGCCCTTTGACTTCGAGAGGCTTTTATTACAGACAGTGCAGTTATCCAAAATCCCCTAACAATAGTCATCGAGTTATGACTCATGTAATGTCAAGTGGAGGTTTTACTGAACAAGTTGTTGCTCCTGCATAGTTAGAGGATATCGTCTCACTCCTGATAACAGCTCCATGACTGACACTTTTGAGGGACCGCGCATATAAATTTCTTATCTTTATGTGGTCCGCCTCATGACCATCGTAGGCATCATCGAGCATATGGTTTATGAAATCAATATAAAAGATACTTACCTTTTCAGTGACCACCATTTTTGGTCACCAGAACTGTACCATGAAAATTTTAAATCTCGCCAAAAGCTTATTGTGAGATTTAAGCGGCCGCTTTGAGAAGGAAGTACCAATAAATAAATTATTTGCGTAATTTTGGTCTTATCTCTATAATTCAGTTGATTTAGATCTGTCATAAAATCATGAAATTTTAGGCTCCTTTTTTCATCACATTTGTTTTCCATAAGACTCCTGTTTAAGACGTGTTAGCTTCTATTTCATGTAGTAAATAACTGCAACCATAAACATACAGACGATGAAATATATCTTTTGTTTGAAATGAAAAAAATTTTAATTTTTAGGTTATTTCAAGAAATACCTTTTAGAGTTCACCTACTATTATCTACTATACTGAAATTAATTAAATGAAAGGCACCTTCCCTAAGAACATTTTCCTTGTGGATAAATAAGGCCATGCTCATAAGATAATGTATTTGTTTATGATTAACCATTTGAATGTTATCTCTCTTAGTAAGAGGGCCATCGCGGAAAATTCTTGCATGAATCATACCTCTCGAAAGCCACGGATTCTTTATATAGCAAATCATTTAGCAGTGTAAGGTAGCATGTGGGCTAGCAATATGATGGCCAGTGCTACCTTTGTTCAAATTCATTATTTCATCTCATGTTGAAGAAGTAATGTAATTAACGGATATAATTTTTTTCTTGTAGTTGCCGGTCGTGAAGAGGGAACCGATCGATGAAGAACCCGCTGTAGAGGAGTACAACGCACGAAGTAGCTCTGATGTCACCGCAGGGGGTGCCGGTAATATGGCGACTGCAATGGAGCGGCACATTCAGCAGACTAATGAAAGGTTACATTGTATTAAGGAGGTAAAAAATTTACCTATGCTATCTGTTCCCTCATCAGAAAACTTGAGATGCACGCACAGTCTTTTATAAGCCTTTTACTATATAAATCACATAATCAAGTAACGAAACGAGATTCTGTCATGAAAAAAATCTCTTTCACGTGCCATCCACTGTGTCATTGATAAAATATATTAGCCTACATGTAGTTTTAGTGATAATAATACTTTTCCCAAAAGCACTTCGTAGTGGGCTCAGAAAATGACATAAAGTTTTTACCCCTGCCTTATGATACCAAAAATACACTCATGTCCATAAATTAAGGATAATGCAAAATCAAGCAAAGGAAGAGTTAGAAATAAAACAAATTTGACTTATTTGTAAAGCTTATTTACTAAACAAAAGGTAAAGAGCAAAAAAAAGATGCTGTATGTTTGATATTATTAAAAAAATTAGCGATTTTTTCTCTCTGGAGCAAATTACAAAAAAAAAAAAAAAAAAAAAAAAAAAAAAAAAAACCACCCTATTTACAAAAAAAACCAATATTACATGGTTGGTATGATTGTTAATACATTGTATGTCTCCCAGACGATGCAATACAGGCCGTACAACGCCTAGGCATGCTGAGTATCAAATTATCGATCTGATCTTGGGGGATATTACATCACTCAAAAAGCAATGCTCTCCGAAGTTCCGGTAGACATGTAGGAGGAGGTTGACGGGCTGCAACTCGTCGGCCAGCATGTCCCACACGTGTTCTACTGGTTCAAGTCCTGGTGAGAATGCTGGCCAGTCCATACGGGTGATATCTTTCCGATTGAAGGCATTCGCTTACGATTGTTTGCACGGTGAGGACGGGCGTTGTCATCCATAAACACAAATTGTGTGCCCATGGCGCCCCGAAACAAACGTACATGTTGTTCCAGAATGACGTCCCGATAGATATGGCTTGTCATGATTCCAATTTGAACATGAAGGTCAGTTCTGGAACCCAGAATAATTCCATCCCAAACGAGCACTCCTGCACCACCGTAACGGTGTCGTTCAATGATGTTTTTTTTGGTGGTAACGGGTACCTGGAGCTCTCCATATGAAAGTCCGGCGAGAATCAGACTGCAAGCTAAACCTGGACTCGTCGGAAAACATCACACAAGCCCACTGTTGCGGTGTCCACAATGCATGCTCTCTACTCCAGGCTAACCGCAGGCGACAGTGAGTTGCAGTAAGTGGAACGCATCTGACAGGTCTACGAACATATAACCAATCTGCCCTAAGCGTCTGTACACGGTCTGCCTTGAAATTGTCGTACCAGTGGCTGAAGAGAGCTGACGAGGCAGGTCTCAGGCTGTGCTCCACCTGTTTGTTTTGGCAGTAACTGCCAAATACCGGTCCTATTCGGCGTTTGTAACTCTGGGGCGACCTGTGCTGTAACGTCTACTCACATTACCATCTTGGAATGTTGCCCAAAGCCTGGAGATGACCTGGGCAATTCCAAGTTCGTCTGATACTTCCAGTTTGGGTACGCCCACATTCCAGACGGCCGATAATTCTACCACGTAAAAAATCATCCAAATGCGTCCTTTGTGTCATAACTATTCGTTATTGCACTGAAATGCTTATAAAGCGCCTGCGAACAATTTTACTTCTTTGCCTGTATTCCTTATATATCACTCTCTTACACTCTCGTCATTGTGACGTACCATCGGTGTCATCTATTACTTCCTGAAATTTGCATATGATTCTTGAAGACGTGTGTATTGATTTTACAGGTTATATATTTATTTTAGAGTTCGTTTTCCGCGTGACTCCGAATTATCCTTAATTTATGGACATGAGTGTATATTAAAGTGAATATATCCGTTGGCCAGATGATGATTCCACTGCTCCAGTAATTCTAAAGGTTTATATTCATCTGTCGATTTAATACAAACTGTTAACTGGAATAAAAACTATATAAAAATGTACTTTAAATTCATGCAGAGAACAAAAGCCATTATCTGATTCAGTAGTTGCAACTTCAGTCGTTAAGCGTACCAAAGCTGCTACAGCAGATTATAAATTCAGTTGTATATTCATAATTAATTTTCAGTAGTCTCACAAGGAGAACAAAAGTACTGGAGGAATACTTTTGTTTGAAGTTAATGCTGGAGGAAGAAAGGCCATATAGCAACAAAAGCCAAAGCAAAAAGGAAATAGTAAACTGCTTTAAAATAAAAATGGAACTAGAGAAAAATACTCACAAGAAAATTTATAAAGTAGTTATTTTAGTTGATTGAAAATTAATAAAGTAGTAATTTTAGTTGGTTGAAAATATAAACAAAAAAATTAATTATTATTTTTATTAAATTTACACAATTTTGCGCAATTTATTTCCCAGCATGATTAAAATGTAGTCGGTGAAAAGAGTGCAATCTGTATTACTACAAAGTATTACCATTACATTTTATTTTTAATGCATTGTGCAAAAAAAAAAAAAAAAAAAAAAAAAAAAACTAGAGTTAAAACATTTTTAATCAACATTTTATAGGATGCAGTAAAGTTATTTTTTTGGCTATACAAGTTATTTAAATTTGAAAAAATGTTATTAAAAATAATATGTATGAAACCTTTTTTTACTTTGTTTTGTAGGGTTTATATTTATTTTAACTAACATTTATTTTAAGTTTAAACTATCTTTCCTGTCAAGCCTTACTTTCCCCTGGAACTGCCAATGCCAGAGTATGTAAATTTTAGTAGAACGCGCAAGGATTCAAATTATCAGCGGAAGTATTCTGAGTTAAATAGAAAGGAAACGAGTTCGAGGTGTGCTGTCCTTACTTCACGAGCGCAGAGGTAGTTAGCCAAAAATTGAAGAACCCCGCGTTTCGGCCTGTGTGCTTGCCTTGGAGAATTGTTAATTGTTCAACGTGATATTCAAAGTTTGCTGAATTAGCAGCGGTATTGTGAAACGCGGTGAGTTTAGTTACTTTTAGAGAGCCTCGTAGTTAGAGTCTTGTTATTATTTTCTTTTCAGGTTCTTATTTTTATTTTACCGCCGGGTCGGCGTAGTTTGTGAGCGTCAAGAGCACGCAATTGTAACTTCTTAAGTTGAATAAAAAGGGACTTAAACCCTTAGCAAGACTTTGTCTATTTTCCAGTTTCAACAGTCACCTCTTGGTTGCGTGCAAGTTGGAGGCGCGCAACTCTACAGTTTTACTAAGGAGTAAAGACCTTTTAAATATGAAAGAACTCAAGTCTCATAGATTTTCAATAACCTCTGATATTATTATGGAGCTGGCAAAAGCTGCAAAATGAAAACAATAACACTCTTTCGCTCTTTTACGAAAAATAAGAATAAAATATGAACAATTGAAAAATTACGCAAATGTCAGTGGGAGGGGAAGAACTAAGTCTGCTGCTCTTCCCGCTGAAGAGACAAAAAAAGTTGCTGAAAACTACTTTTAATTATGTTAGTTTTATATATTTATGTCGTAGCATTAATTAAAATATTGTTTTAAAATACTATTGCAATTATTTTATAAATAATACTGTATATTATTTATTAAAATTCTTACATGTTTTATACTATGTATGTAGCAAAGTATTACACTGAGCTAGCAGTACAAGCTCTCTTTAAGGTGAAGTCCATTTCAGATTTTGAATTCGTATATCTTAAAGGTATAACAAAATTAGTCAGTTTATGGTATTTTCTTTTTGCTGGGTTTGTCAAAATTTTGCCAAAAAGGCAACTAATTTGCAATGGTCGAAACATCAAGGGAATTGGACCTATTTCATTATCAAGCGTCTTGCTCCATCAGTTAAACCTACTCAAGAGTTAAACCTTCGGTATTAAATAAATAAATACGGAACAAAAATCACTCGAAAAAGACGTAAACCGAAAAGAAGGCTCTGTGAAATATTTACACGATCGGTACGATCAGTGAAAGTAAAGTAAACAACTAACATAATCTACTTATTGAACTAACAGGAAAAGTAGGAAGAAAATACAATAAAAGTTCTTTAAGAAAGAGGGGGAAAGAGAAAGAAAGAAAAGAAAGGAGGAGCACTAGAATTATAAGTCATATTGGGAAGATAGGAAATCCAGTTGCCAACTGTCGATTCCACTCCCCTAATTTTCAAAGCACTCATGATTTCGACACTGCTTGTTTTCATTTTCAGATCTGAAACTTGTATTGATTCATATCCCAGAACTCTGTGATTTTTCGTAGCAGATAAAAGGATTTCTGCTGCGATAATTTTGAAAGGCAGGCATCTTTGCCAACTTAAAGTAGTGCCAAGTATCCTGATATTCATTGCATGACGAATATATATATATATATATATATATATATGTATACAGAGAGAAATACCTCTTGCTCAGTATTTTCTGAAGTTCTCAACAGTTGTCGCTTATGTCATACGTTTCATTCTCCTCCTCCTCCTCTTCTCTCTCTCTCTTTCGTTCACTTCACGAGACTCGAGCGAAATGAATCACTCCTGTTCTCACATTGACACGTGGGTATCTCCCAGCTTGGTTTTCCCTGTCGGGTGAATATCGATTGAATCGATATTTTTCGCGCTGTTGAATGAAGCTTCCGTTTCCAACCTCCCAGCCTCTCCCCTCTTCTAGTTCAGTATTACTGCTTGTTTAGTTTTCAAGATCTCTCTACTCCTCCGATTTCGAATGAGACGCGGGATGTAGTAAATGGGCGAAATGATGAATGGCAAGAGTGAGAAACGAAAGGTTTCTTTTCTCTGTCCCTTCGGCCCTTTCTCCAAGCATGTGATGGAGGATGAACTACGTTGGCCTCACTTCGCCAGAGGCAATAAATAGCGTTGACTTCGGTGATCTTAGTTGCAGTGCCTTTTGTTTTGAAATAAGATCCAGGCTATATTTGGCGTTTTTATCCAAACATTTTCAGTATTTTAATACGAGTTTGGTAAAATATATCTATACTAATTCTTGAAGAAAAAGCGGTGAACTGGTACAGGTATTAGCACTAAGGTTTTCTTAGTCTGTTTTTTAGTCTTTCTTAGTCTGTACT